ACACACACACACACACACTACACGACCCAGAGTTAGCCAGGCTGCATATTTAATGAGTTGCCCCCCCATGGACAAAACAGCTTGCAGGGTCATAATGGTTTCGAGCGGAGCCCCACCCCGCTGCACAGAGCTAGTGAACTCCTCCCCTCCACTGTGTGACTGGCCTGAAGAGGAGGAGGACAGGGAGGACAGAGAGGGGAGGACAGAGGGAGAACAACAAACTCTAATTACTCCTCTGTGGCTCTCGGGCCCCTCCAGCATTTTTAATTCAGGAGTTAAGAGAGAGAGAGAAGGAGAACAGAAAGGAAAGGCGAGTACGGTGCGAACAGAAAAAAGACCCTTCCTGATTGAACATGAAACGTCTCCCTGTGGCTCCCCCTGTGTCTCCTCTCTTCTTTCCCTCTCTGCTTGTTGTACATAATGCCCCCTCACTTTAAATGCAATTGTTCATCATCCCTCAGTTATCCACAGTGAATAATGATGTTTCCTCTTGGAGAGAAAAAGGCAGAGGAGCAAGCCTAAGGCCATGTATTCTGATGGTCTAAGCATTCCCTGGTCACACTCTGCTCGGGCAAAATCAACAGTGCAGCAGGGAGGAAGGGAGTGCGTCTGAGCCTCCTCCTGCATCCATATTCTCTGGGCGTTGTGTTTGTTTGTTGTGTTTTACTCATTATTTACAATCTGTATCACCCACAAGTCCCTCTGCATTACACCCTTTTGCAAATATAGACAGAGGCGGGGTGAGAAAGGGGCGGTGGACGACGAAGACACCATCCAGTCATCTTTCACAAACAGACCCGAATTAGCAACATTATGTCTGCTCTCTGGGGACGTTCGCTCTCGTCTGCCCCTACCATGCTGCCATCATCGTCACTGTCACCCGGACGGAGCCCGTGGAGGGGCAAAGCCACTTGAGGAGAGCTTCCTTCCCAGAGAAGCTGAAACTGAAGAGACAGCTGGGCCCTGATCCAGAGTCTCTGGCTATTTCAGCAATGCTGCTCAGTTCACAGTAGCCAGATACATTACATTTCACTTTTTGTGGGTTTATTTGCTTTGTTTCCTTTCTTTTTTTCTTTTGCCAGTTTCCCCAAATAGATCTAAATCTATAGTATTTGGTTGATTGACAGAAAAACTGAGGCTGCAATTTATTTGGTTAGATTGCTGAGCTGGGGCGCAAAGAAAAATATAAGTATTTGGTTATATTCTTGCAATAAAGTGTTTTTTTTTTGTCATATCCTACAAGCTAATAAAATTATAACCACGACATGTGCAGCATTATGGTCCTGCTGTAATATAACCCATTAAAGGCACATTATCTGGTTCAGTGTGTCTTTCTGCTGCCTGTGCCGATGCAGGATGAAATGGGCCATTCTAATCCTCATTAACATAGCTAATTTCACATAAGAGAAAGTTGATAGTGGATGTCAAAAACCATTCAAAGGTCACCCAAGCAAGCCACATCATTTGATATGCAAGTATGCATTTGCAAATGTGTGTAGTTGTATAAATGTTCTACCTGTTGGACCATTTGTTAGGTTTTCTTTTATACATAGACTGTAAGCCTTTCTCAGAGGCGAAGGAGTGTCATTGCCACTGTTGTGAAGTGCTTGTCAAACAGGCATAGAGGGCAGAGCAGTGCATGGATAAAAAGATGGCTGATGGTTGATCGTGCACACAGGAGCAAAGACAGGATAAACTGACAGGCCAAAGATGACAAAGGGCAACAGATAATTCATCCTTCCCTCCCCTGCCCTCTGAGGCTGTAAGTCCACAGCTAACCTTTGGTTGGAGGGATGAAAGTGAAGGAACAAACGTGACGTGTTGCTCCTTCAACAGGCACTGGCACAGAGCCATGTCACAGGGGGGAAGAAGGGACAAGTCTGACATTAGAGGCATGACGATGCTGCCACATGACCTTTACAGGGGACAATTAACTGAACATAGCACTGTTCACGCCAGCTGTGTTTGGCTGTATGTCACATGTGTCCGACTGCATGCAAAAGCAAAGAGAGATCATACAAATGAGTGTTTGGTGATAAATTGACACCAACGACATGTTTTGATGCCCTCGTAAACACTGATTTATGGGTCAAAAGATGGCAAAGGTGTCAAGGAGGGCTGAATTTGGATAAAAACTGGGTTAAAGGTTTTCAAGATGAGTTATTTATAACTGTTATCTAAATGTATTTCAAGGGAATAGCAGGTTCTAACATGTTAAAACATAGTCAATGGAATGCTGTTCAAACAATGGTTTAATGCCACCAAGACATTCATAATAGTTACTTTTTATCCACATTTACAGAATTTTTCAACTAGATAGCTGTCTGTTGACCTGTAAATTACCACAAGCATGCTCTTTGGGACTAGACTGACTTTGGGAGATATGATCAACTTGTTCTTTGTGTAATGTGAAAAAAAGTCCAACATCAAATGTGAATTTCTCAAAGAAATATCTTACAGTAACTTCTAGGACCTTTTGGAATCGAATGTGTTGTAAGCTAGTGTCTTGGTATGTGCACACAACAAGGTTACAGTATGTGACACAAAAGACGAGTTAAGTGGTTCTGGCATCAGTACCTTTAGAATATTTTCAACAAACAAACAGTCTGTGTCCTTCTTAGCAATCTCTCCACAACCACTTGCTGATGTTTTGTATAAACAAGCATGTGTTGCAAAGGAGAGATCTTTGACAACTCTCCCTGGAGAAGCTGGACAGCAAACATGTTTCAAATGGCTGGACAAACACAAGATGTGTGACTGCGATCAGAAAGTAGAGAACTCACTTGGTCACCCTCCTGCGGGCGGTGATGCTGGCCACGATGACGCTCTCCGGTCTCGGTGTGGCCACAGCCTTGAAAGTCCCTCTCCAAAACTTCTCAAAGAGCTGCTTCTCTTCCAGCTGCTGGAGGCCGGCATTGCTGACCTGGGATCCCTGGGATGGAGAGGGGCCGCAGGGGCCAAGCTGGAGCGAACATGGGGGCTGCATCTGCGACTCTCTGTCTCCAAACAAAACCAGTTGAATCTACACGCTCATGGACACACGCTCACAGGCTGGTATGCCGCTTAGGAGCTGTCCAAGTACTGAATCAAACCCAGAAAAAGCGCAGCAACTGTTCTTGCACCGTCTTCTCCTCTCACAGCAGCAGGTCAATGTGTCAACGCGTCTGTCTGCTCTCAGCTCTTGAGCGGGAGCGTGGGGAGAAGGACAAAAGCTGACCCTCTCCTACTGGAGGCTGGGTATTGTTCTCCCAGATGAGGGAAGGAGGGGTGGGGGAGATTGTGTTTCTCTCTTTCTCTCTCCGCCACTCCTCTTCTGTCACATCTGCTGCTTCTTTGGGACGGGGTCCAGGTCGGGGGATTTGGGGGGTTGTGGAGAGCTCCTTTTTCCCGCGTGTGCTCCGGTCGGCAGCTTCACACAGAACCGTGCATCACTCACAAGAGACGGAGCATGTTTCAGTCCTGAGGAGTGAGAGACCAAGTGGTTTTCTTGTTGCTGGAGTGCAGTGTTGTGGTGGAGAGACGATGATTGTACGCACCGTGGCTCAGGGCTGAGCGAGTGTCAGAGCAAGAGGGCAGGCGTGAGTGTGTGTGAGTGAAGAATCGAGTGAGGAGCTCAGCTGAGAGTGGCTTGTTTTGTGTCTCTCAGTCT